GTAGATAAAACTATGAATCATTCATTTTCCTAGTGCAGTTCTTCCTTATGATATAATATTCATCATTTTGAAGGATGTACATACGTCCTGAACTTGTAGCTGGAGCTGAAATATTGTACAATATGTTATCATTATGAACCCAGTATATGTCTTCATATCTTGGCCAGAAAAAAGAATTTGCTGCTCAATGAGGATGTACAAATTGTATTTTTAAATCATTTTGTGATGCAGTGTCACTTTCAAGGAGTAGACTAACCCACCAAAAAAAAACTATCATAAATGATCACTAAATACTTCATTGTTTTAATAGAAGTTTCTGGGTATGAAGACGCTTCCTGACATGAAATATTAAATTTCTTTGTGGTTTGATCATGATTAAATGTTTTGTAGATTACAGTAGTGCCATCTCCAGGAATAAAGTGGTGAAAAGACCCTTGACTGTGTGTCCATCAGATAAAACTCAAAGACCAATTTCTTTTAATTTTTTAATACATTCTTTGTTTTCTTGACAGAAATGAAACAAGTTCTCAACAGTCATGGTTTGATTTCTTGTAGTTTCCTTGAAGTTTTATTTGCAGTAAGTTGTTTAGTAGTGCCACTAATGACTTCACACATTGACTTTGCATGACTTGTTGCAAAAAAGATCAATTCAAAGATGAAGCTAACAATCCAGAGTTAAATACCCATCCTGGGTATAACAATAAACTACATCCGTGTCTAGGGTAAGACGATAAACTATGTCCAACAGCAAGGCCTCTCATCAGGAGGTTTTGAGGAGTGTGGAACCACCTCTTAATTGCTGGTGTTCCCAGGTCCACCCTGACCCTGGGTGGTAGCCACCTGTTAGGGTCTCAGCTATGGGTAAATAGTTAACCCTGAAACTGAGGTAAAAAGCATTATGAAAGTGTAAAAATAAGTTTTAATACCAGAAAAAAAATGATTACCAGAAATAAATTTTTGAAGAAAAGAGCTATTACCAGCAATACGTTTTTGAAAAAAAATATTACCAGCAATACATGTTTTTAAATAATATTACCAGCTATACATTTTTGAGGGAAAGAATATTACTGGAAATAGATTTTTGACAAAACTAAATATTACCAGGAAAAAAAAAAAGTTGTCAGTATTAAATAACCCATTGAGGTTGATTAACACAACAAACCAAATCAAACCAAACCAATTGAGTAATTTAAAAAAAAAACTTTTTACAAAAATAAAACCATCCAAAATTGTAAATTTCCTAAAAGAAGTTGGATTGTACTCAAAAATATGAGTAATTGAAAAATGGTTTGATTCAAATATATATGTATATATACACACCTTTTTTTTACCAAACTATTGCCATGAATCTATTTCAAAATTTTGTTGGCATTAAATGACCCACTGAGGTTGAGATGCCATAAAACAAAACAACCCGAGTTAAATACAGGTTGAAATGGATAAATTGTTGTCTAAATGACACAATAAATGAAAATAACACGAACATCTAATGTTAACAGATATATTTATCAGAATTACACAAAAATATCTTAGAATACTAAAGAGTAAATGTTGTGTCATGTATATTGCTAAGTAAGCGTTCGACCTCTGTTCTAGTTGGTGTCCGTTTATCATATGAGCTACCTGCTCATATGCAAATTATACTAATTTGCATCTCACTACAGTAAATTTGTTCAATAAAATTGCCATTTGCTTCAATTTAGAATCTCATGCAACTATTCTGGACAGTTTCCTTGTTTAATTTGGTTAATGCTGCCATAATCCCTGCCTTCAGTTCATCTTTGGTATTACAAGGAGTTTTGTTGGTCTCTCATTCAACTGTTCTCTACACATAATAATCAAGGGGGCTTCAGTCTGGGGAGTTAGGTGGCCACATGTAAGGGATGATGTGGTTACAGAAATTGTCTGACAGCCATAACTGGGTTCCCCTGCTTGTGTGACATGGTGCAGAGTCTTGTTGCCAGACCTAAGGTCTTTCAGAAGCTACCCTCTTGACCCAATGCTGCACTACCTCCTCAAATCACTTGATGTAGTTTAGTCTGAGGCCCTCCCAACAAATTTTGGGAGTTCTTTTCTTATCTGAACAATCAAAGTGCGTTTTTTGAGCTGCCATACCTTTGTAATCATTATTAGACTCATCCAACTCTTTCCAAATCCTCTGTGCTCTCCTCAGATTGAAACCCAAACACTCTGAAATGTCATATTGGAGCTTCTGGTGCAAATGGTAAGCAGTACAGCATGCTGTTTCCAAATTTCTGGTGGAGTGAATTGCCTCATGGTGCTCTTTCTCTTACAGATGGTGCTTGACTGACATGACTATACTGTGCAAGAATAAATTATATTTACAACATTCTAAAAAAAACTAATACAATGCCATATTTATTATTTACCAATTTATAAAGAAATAAATGAAAACAATTTTTTATTCATAAATTTAGTGAATTATTAAAATATGTCAATCAATTCTAAGGAAATCCTTATTATTTAGCATTTTATAAAGTTTGAATGGATTAGCAATTAGCCAATCTTTTGCCAATCATTCCAATAAACAATCTCATAAATAGTGTTTATTATTTATGTATAAATTCACTTTCATATATTTAGGTTTTATTTCAATTTTAATCATCACTTTTTAAATAAATTTAATAAGTATTACTGAAGAATAAAGGCAAGTTAAAATGGAGTGTGATGGGAGAAAAATGTCCTTTTGACATTCTATCTTATTGAGCAATGGTTATCCATGTTTTTCAAGTTTTCTAAAAATGAAATACAAAAATAGATTAAAAAAAAACAAATAAAAGAGTTTCTGGTAAGGTGATATTGATGTCTATTTCATGCCACCCACACACTACACTGCCCACATGTAAGACGGAAAGAGAAAGTGATAGAAAGAAAGAAGGAAGGAAGGAGAGAGTAAATGATAGAAAGAAGGAAAGGATAAGTAAAAGGAAGAAGGAAGGAAAGAGTAAGTGAAAGGAAGGGAGAAGGAAAGAAAGAGTAAGTAATAGAAAGAAGGAAAAAGTGAGTGAAAGAAAAGAGCAAGTGAAAGAAAGAAAGGAGGAAAAAGCAAGTGAAAGAAAAAGTCAGTGAAAGAAAGAAAGAAAGAAAGAAAGAGTCAGGAAAGAAAGAAAGAAAGAAAGAGTCAGGAAAGAAAGAAAGAAAGAAAGAGTCAGGAAAGAAAGAAAGAAAAAAAGAACTATTACAATGTATTTGAACGAATAACATCAAATGATTAATGCTGTATTTATTATTTAAGATGTCTAAAGATATTGGCCTCCCTACAGTCCGTACCAAACCAGACAAGAAAATTTCTTTTACCTGTAGACATCTTTTGAGTCCTATTAAATGTTGTTTGAATCATGAACTGAATGTTAAATATAAAAATGTGTCCACTTGTTAGTGAAAATGTTTTGCACATATGGTTTGAAAAAATAAATTAACAAAAAAATATACAAAACGTTTAAAAAAATAAAATATTTATGTACTAATAACCATCAGTATCTAGTTCATTTGACAAATGATTCGCATTCAGTTACAGAAAGAATATATTAGTTACATTTTAAATTAAATTAACATTGTTGTTGTTTACTTAGTATCGACCAACAACAAATTCCTTTTAATTATGTCAAAACTGTTATGGGTTGATTGCAATGTATCGCTTTTCATGGAAAAATTCAGTTGTGTTTCTGGGACATAAAGATGGAAAACTTACTGCGTTCTTTAAGATTTTTTTGCATCAGGGATGCAAGATGGGTACCTGTCAGCATCTCTGCATGTTGAACTTATTTCTTATTAATGGAATATAAAGGGAATGAATTTGATTCAACCCTGTGTACGTGGCATGGCGGGTCCAGGCTGCAAAGGTCAGGGTTGGTGGAACCAAAGAAAGTAGCTTGTTAGAACACTTGCTGTGGAAATAGCAACAGATTAATGAGAGGCTTGCACCACTTTGTCTGTGTGGAAAAGGGCTGTAGGGTGAAAAATAATTCACCACCCACAAGGCCACATAGACACTTTTGAACTTTATCAAGACAGGCAAGTTATGACTGGCAGCTCCACCCTAGATATGGCAGTAATACTCCATTTTTGGTTGGATCTGGCTTTTGTAAATATAGAGTATACCAGGGGGAGTCAGATGGGGCTTACTGGAATGGTGTAACAAACTGACCATTTTTCCAGCATCTTTAGCAATAGATCAGAAATATGAGTTCCAGTTGAAGTCTGTGATGAGATTGAGTTCCAATAGACATTCAGGGCAAGGAATCTCCTTGAAAGAAGACCCATCCATCATGATAGGTGAAAGTTCAGGGTCTGCAACATTAATGAACCTGACCTGGCATCTCAGCATCAGTCACTGTCCTGCTGCTGTAAAGTAGCTTCCAGGTTCCTCTTAAATATTTTCATGGCAATTGTACAGATGAGCTTTCCTCTGTACTGCCTTAAAAACATAGTATCAGCAGCAGCAGCAGCCAATAATAAACATAGTATCAGCAGCAGCACCCCTTAATAAACATAGTATCAGCAGCAGCACCCCTTAATAAACATAGTATCAGCAGCAGCACCCTTAATAAACATAGTATCAACAGCAGCACTCCTTAATAAACGTAGAATCAGCAGCAGCACCCCTTAATAAAAATAGTATCAGCAGCAGCAGCCAATAATAAACATAGTATCAGTAGCAGCACTCCTTAATAAACGTAGAATCAGCAGCAGCACCACTTAATAGACATAGTATCAGCAGTAGCACCCCTTAATAGACATAGTATCAGCAGTAGCACCCCTTAATAGACATAGTATCAGCAGCAGCAGCACACCTTAATAAACATAGTATCAGCAGCAGCAGCCAATAATAAACATAGTATCAGCAGCAGCACCACTTAATAAACATAGTATCATCAGCAGCACCCTTAATAAACATAGTATCATCAGCAGCACCCTTAATAAACATAGTATCATCAGCAGCAGCCAATAATAAACATAGTATCAGCAGCAGCACTCCTTAATAAACATAGTATCAGCAGCAGCACCCCTTAATAAACATAGAATCAGCAGCAGCACCCTTAATAAACATAGTATCAGCAGCAGCACCCCTAAATAAACATAGAATCAGCAGCCAATAATAGACATAGTATCAGCAACAGCCCTGAGGGTATAAAAACAAATGAGGCCTTAAGTAACTCTCTTCCTGTTTTTTCCCCTTTCAAAGTGCGTGCCATTGACTTTTCACACTAAAGCAAAAAGTGCTGCGGATGATTCATGCACAAACACACCTACACTGGCAAGTCACACCCAAATACCTTCATTAACAGTCTCTGTTATTTTGATCATGTACCTTTTCACCACCATTAATTCGTGTAAAATATTCTTGTAGAAAATTATAGAAGTGGCCAACACACTAAACCTCTTTAACTTCACAAATTGAAGGACAGTACTCGATTGGCAGCTTGGTTTCATTATTCTACAGTTGAAATAGCTAACCATAAGTTCTATTCTAATATTTTCTTCTCTGACACTTTTTGCCTATGGAACTCTCTTGCGGCTTCTTGATTTCCTGTCAATGACAATCTTCAAAAATTCAAATGCAGCTTCAATTGTCATCTTTTTGAATCCCAAACTTTTAATGTCTTCTCTCCTCAATGTTTTCAGATTAAACAAAATTTTTGATTGATTTTGTGTCTAACCTATAACCTCATGTTTGATAATAAACAATAACTATATATTTTCAGATTGAAACAACATTCCTGTTACAAGGTTTGCATATGAAGTTGGACCCAAGAACTGTTGACAATTTTACTTCAGAAGCCAATCCATACAACTGTACAAAAATTGCTACAATGAAATCACCCACGGTAATGTTTTTCCCTTATAATAACTTTTAATTCAAGCTTTTAGTAGTTTTTTTTATTACATACAAATAAAATAATTAAAACTTATGTACCTCAATGGGACTGTACACATTTTTAAGTATTTTAATGCTTTATAAAAATGATCTTGCAGATTATCTCTGCTATCATGACTTCTTTCTGATAGATGTATTCAAATTTTGGAGAGGTGTAGATAGGTTTGCCTATCATCCAGTTGACACTCCTCCCCAGTTTTTTGAACAGGAGTGGAGGTTTATCTCCTGTTTACTGTTTAAGATTGGGTTTCTGGTCCTGTAATATCTTTTCCTTCTCTTTCATTTGTGGTGATCCCTTGCATCTTGGTGGCATTATTACCTTACATAGGTGGTACCTCTTACTCTGTCATCCTCTACCTCAAGTGGCTTGTAAGCCTTGTACAAAAAAGAGTCATTAATATACCATGTATTTCTATCTGAATTTTTCAGATAAGTTAATATTTACATGTTGATAAAAGAAACTGTCTCTCTAGGGTGAGTGTTTATATAACTGTCATATAGGTATTTACACAAAGACACAGTGAGGTTGATTGGCATTGGGTGAAGTGCGGATCTCTACTTCCAGTTTAGAGGTTATATCGAATGTCAACCCTTCATCTGGCTTCTTTGAAGGTTGGGCGTGACATTGAGTGCAAAGTTTATCCTGGTATCGTCTGTATGTTTTTCTCATTTCATGGATGATCTAAAACATGAAGATGAAAGTAAATACTAGTCAAAAATTAATAATGGTTAGCAATGCTTCATCTAATAAAAAATGAAGATAAAAGTTGATGTAATGGAATAACCTGTCACCCCCATGAGTAACTACACTATAGGTATCTGTAAGTCAACGGACAACAGAGATTAGCTGGGATCTGTTGAGTATGACTCAGACTTACATGAGAATTACCAACCTTCCAAAAGTAGCACTCACTACTGGATGACTTGCGATGACCTTGTACATAACTATTACCTTTATTCTTATTGTGCTGGTTTTGTACAATAAACCTTTACTTATTTTATCCACCTTGTTTTTCAAGTATATATTCCTATTAGCACAGAATATAACAAAAGCAAATCCTAGTCAAAAATTAATAATAATGGTTGACGATGCTTCATCTAATAAAAAATGATGAAAGTAGATACTAGTCAAAAATTAATAATAATGGCAATGCTTCCTAAAATAAAATGAAGATAAAAATAAATGCTATTTAAAAATTGATAATGTCTTTTTTAAATAGATATCATATTTCAGTATTTAATCACTTGCTATCCATAAGAAATGTCTGTCTTTATTTTATATCTAATTGTAATTTTCTATCATTTTGTATTCTTCAGTTAAGTGTAACATGGCTGTCTTTATTCAACGTGGTGATAATAGTCATTTTTATTCCTTTGATGGAAAAAGTGATTTTGCCCTGGCTAGACAAGAATGGGCGACCAATTTCTCTCCAGCAACGAATCATTATTGGCATGGTGTTTGCTGCTTTTGCGATGATTGCAGCTGGACTTGTAGAATTCCAACGTTTAAAGACCATCTTCTATTCCAAGAACAATAATTGTCAATGTGAAATGGTAAAACAGATACTTAATCGTAGTAAGTGCTTTTCATTTTTTTTGTTGTTTTTTCTTGCTTTTGTAGATAGTGAGTTCGGTTCCTGTCCACAGAAGACAGAAGATAAAACAAAATCTTGAGGAGTTAACAAGGAGAATTAACTAAAATGGAGATATCCAAAGGCAAGGCACATGGAATCAGAACAATCTATCCTTTTAACATTATCATTAAACGAAGAAAGAAAATCACAATATTGATCCATATTTTTTAAAGCCAATCTAAGCTTTCGGCTTACATAAGCCATTATCAAAGATGTCAATTACTGTACAATATATTAAGCAATATACAGACAAGACAGTGATGATAGTCAGCTATTGTTTACATGGAGAAGACTATCATCACTGTCTTGTCCGTATATTGCTTAATATATTGTACAGTAATTGACATCTTTGATAATGGCTTATGTAAGATAATGTTAGTACCTATATAAAAATAATAAAGATAATGTTAGTACCTATATAAAAATAATAAAGATAATGTTAATACCCATATAAAAATAATAAAGATAATGTTAGTACCTATATAAAAATAATAAAGATAATGTTAATACCCATATAAAAATAATAAAGATAATGTTAGTACACATATAAAATAATAAAAGATAATGTTAATACCCATATAAAAAAATAATAAAGATAATGTTAGTACCCATATAAAATAATAAAGATAATGTTAGTACCCATATAAAAATAATAAAGATAATGTTAGTACCCATATAAAAATAATAAAGATAATGTTAGTACACATATAAAATAATAAAGATAATGTTAGTACCCATATAAAACATGTACCATATATAAAACATGTTAGTACCTATATAAAAAAGAATCAACACTTCAAGTGTATATCGCCCAAAGTCAATGTTTTAAGGAATTTTAAGTCTGTTCCTGTGAAAATAAATACAAAATTGTATGACAAAGTGCAGAGATGTTTACTTGTAATGAGTTTTGTCCTTCAGGACTTCATCAATAAAGAGATGGTCAACTTCAATTGATACACATGTCTCCAGAGGCCTGCAGGTGTTTTGTAAACTTTTAGACAAGTGGAGAGAGAGAAATTTTGACAAATGGAAACATTTCATAAACTTCACTTGATAATGCATTTCACCATATTTGAAAATGAAAGAATAAAATGTGTGTATGTGTATTTGTGTTTATTTTTAAATAATGAATCTTCGTACTTTTTCCCTAAGCTGGCATTTTTCATGATTGAAAGAGAAAAAAAGGAGTGACTTATTACTTATTCTGGTATCTTCTGAATTTGTAATATTTTATGTTTTCCAAATTTTATTCGCATTTTGAATATTTCCACATTTTAGACGCATTTTGAGTATTTCAAAATTTTAGACGCATTTTGAATATTTTATTTGTTTTAAAAGCTTTAGGCAAATTTTGAATACTTTATACGTGTTTGAAAAACTTTATACAGATTTTAAATATTTTATATTATTTTAAAATCTCTATAGACATTTTGTAATATTTTATACATGTTTTAAAAATTTTACACACAGTTTAAAAAGGACTAACAAATTCAAGTTGCTTTTTATTAATTCAGGATTTGATATTACCATCCAAATAATTTAATTGTTGTTGTTTTTCTTTTTTTCTTTACTTTTTTGTTGCTTCACTTTTCACTGATTAATGTTATTATCTCCCCCTGTTTAAATCTTATTATCTCCCCCTGTTTAAATCTTATTATCTCCCCTTTTATTTTTCTTCTTTCAGACAACACTTATTATGCAGCTAACCTGACGATATTCTATCAAATTCCACAATATATGCTGCTTGGACTAAGTGAGGTTTTTACAATAGTTGCAGGTAAAAACTTAGTCTTTATTCCTCTATTTTGATTTTCCCCACTTATGAATATCATTTTTCACTAATGGAACATTATATTTTTCTCATCTTTTATTTTCATTACCATGTTTGCTAACATTAAGGTTCCGATTACCGATTTTTGAGACAAGCAGGTCCACCTCGCCCAAAAATATGGGGCTATGCATTTTTTTCTGTGATTCTTTTGTGCTGTTGTACCATACAATTCCTTGCTAAAGATGCTGGTAAAAATGGTCAGCTCATTCTGTCACACCAGGATTGATTGATTCATTTGTTTTTTATGGTTTATCAACCCTTCATGAGTTATTTAAAGATGAAACATATTTCATATTGTAAGAATATATTTTTTTGTTTTTGATGTGTGAATATTTCATTAACAATTTTTTTTGAGAACAACACTGTTTTTTTTTTTTTTATTATATAAATCCTACTATTTAATCCATAGATTGGGAGAATAGATGGACTCATATTTTTCCCTAGGGTATTTGTGTGTAAATGAATGTAACAAACCCCACTGGAATTTGAACTCAGACAAGTAGATGAAGCCATGAATAAAACACCTACATCTTATTATAAAACACAGATTGTGTGTGTGTCTGTCTGTACGTTTATATATTGGATCGGATTTCCTACATTTTTCAACCAATTTCAACAAAACTTCACTTTTTTTTTTTTTTGGCAGGTAGTGTTTCTTATTGTCTTGCACACTTTTTTTTTTATTTTTACATTCAGAATGCTTTAAAATTCCATTTACAAGACAATTGTTTATAATAAAATTCTATTCAATTGGTAGACTCATAACGATTGAAAACAATGTTTTTGTTTGAGTTTGGGTTTCACCAATTCATTATTTTTCAGTCTTTATGATGGTCGATACTTGATCTATCTCTTACTGTTACATCCCAGGGCAACGCCGGGCTCTACTGCTAGTATGATATATTAGAATTTAATTTGAGAACCACTACTACAATGGTTTAGAAGTTCATGTTTTAGCCTCTTTTCTGATCTTTGCCCCAACTTTCACCCCAGCTTTCAAATCTGGTTCCCAAAGCCTTGATCCTTATCAGAGATAAGAATATATATTAATGAGAGAGCTGGAAAATATAAAAAGGAATTTGACCACCCTTGTCCTGACCATGGTGCCGTAGAGTCGAGGGGGGTAACACTCACTACTTGTCGGACCCTTGTTTCCAAAAATCAGCTCCCAAACTTTTGATTCTTATCAGAGATATATTTTCTGACAAATGAGAGGTCTAGGAAAGTGTATAGCAATTTGAAAGGGAAAAGTTCCCGATATTTCTGAGCCTTCTAATCTCAATAAATATGGAGAATATGCCCCTCTTTGGTAATGACTACTTGACATCATGTCAGCGACAGAACACCAGTCCTCTTCGGAATCTGTTTCAAATCTATATGCTGGGCTCTAAAGATGGAACATTGGCCCTCTACTAAAAGCTAATTGAGATCTACTTTTGTGAACCTAAAAATTCCTGTTGTCGGCCTATGAATTCACTCTACTACAAACTATGGATCTTCTGTTTGTTCCTTCTTCAACAAGAGCTCTGAAGAAATCTATATGAGTGTTAACTCCTTAAGAACAATTTACTCGCTTAAGGAACTTCTCAGTGCTCAGAGAAATATTTTGAGCAAGCCTTTATATGAACACTTTTTCTTCCTTTAAGTTAAAGGAATTTTCTTTACCCTTTCTTTCTCTCATATTTTGTGTATATCGCTTTATTATTTTTTATGTATGTAAATAAAAATATTTCTTCTTTATTTTTCTTAAAAGAGATGTGTCTGCTCTAAAACTTTTGACCCGTTGTTGCTTTTATCAATTCTGTCACTTTTAACCTTAAACCTTTCATATGGGAAAGCTGGGACAAATTTCCCACAAATATGGGAAACATGGTTAGCCTTCATATTTCTTTTATTGTATTACTTACATTACCTGGATTGTTATCCTCATCTTCATTGCCATATCCACAATTCGGCCATTGTACAATTTGGCCTCCTTCAGGTAATTGGATCTCTGAGATGAGGTATTATGATTACTTGCATTATTTACATCATTCAGACTGTTATCCTCATCTTTATTGCCATATTCACAACGTTTCGGCCGCTGTACACTCCGGCCTTCTTCAGGTGATTGAATCTCTGAGATGAGGTATTATGATTACTTGCATTATTTACATTATTCGGACTGTTATCCTCATCTTTCTTGCCATATTCACAACATTTCGGCCGTTGTATGCTCAGGCCTTCTTCAGGTGATTGGATCTCTGAGATGAGGTATTATGATTACTTGCATTATTTACATTATTCGGACTGTTATCCTCATCTTTCTTGCCATATTCACAACATTTGAGAAAATGCGCTCCAGCCTTCTTCAGGTGATTGGATCTCTGAGATGAGGTATTATGATTAATTGCATTATTTACATTATTTGGACTGTTACCCTCAACTTCATTGCTATATTCACAAACTTTCAGCCGATTGGAATTTCGAACCAAACCCTTTATTTTATCCACAGGGGTAAGTTGTTCTAGTTCCACATGCCATGCTTCTTCTGGATGTCTCAGTTATTTCCTTTTAACTCAACTCTCCAAGTTTTGTGGTTCACCACTGCTGTGACTTGGTATTGAACTCACAACTCTTTGGGTCTTGTCACTGGATCTAACAAATGTCTATATTCATTGGGCCATGTGTCCAGTGACTAAACCCAAATAGTTGTAAGTTCAGTACCAGGCTACAGCAGTGGTGAGCCAAAACTTGGAGAGTTAAAGGGAAATAATTGAAACGTCCGGAAGAGACATGGCATGTGGAACTAGAACAATCAACCCTGCTGGACGAAATAAAGGGTTCGGTTTGAAATTCCAATCACCTGAAGAAGGCTGGAGTATACAACAACTGAAAAGTTGTGAATATGGCAATGAAGATGAGGATAACAGTCCGAATAATGTAAATAATGCAAGTAATCATAATACTTCATCTCAGAGATCCAATCACCTGAAGAAGGTTGGAGTGTTCAACGGTTGAAACGTTGTTTAATATGGCAATGAAGTTGAGGATACCAGTCCGAATAATGTAAGTAATGCAAGTAATCATAATACCTCATCTGCCGGGATATAGACAGATATTCTTTTATTGTGTTAATCTGCAAGGATACATCACGCTCTTCCTCATGATTCCCATTCAAGGATCAGAATGCAATGCATGGTGATCCTTGGCTGGTTGGCAGAAAGGTTGGGCAAGGGTCTGTTTACATGACTTGCTTAACTTATTTCTCTTAAATTCTTTTTCAGGTTTAGAATTTGCATATTCAATGGCACCAAAATCAATGAAAGGCATCATCATGGGACTGTTTCAATTTTTCACCGGTGTCGGCAGCTTCCTCGGCTCTCCTCTCATTGAGATCTTCAAGAAATATTTCTCATTGAAAGATATTAACAAGTATGAGTGTAGTGGGCAGAAAATTACTCACACGTCTCATCTCGATTACTATTTCTTCATCATGGCCGCTGTCCAAATATTTTTCATTATTGTTTTCATGTTTGTTACACACTTTTTGAACTTTAACAATGCGGCTTTAACTGTTTATGAATCACCGGATCCGTACTTCAGTCAACAGAGTGAGCAAAAAAAACCTAAACTCAGAAGAACATGGTGAACATATTCTTTGATTTTTTATTTTTTTTTTGCCAAACTTAGACCTTCATGCCTACAAAAAAGCAGGGTGTCAAAAGAACAGTTTTTCCCTTGACATCACTATTATTTTAACTACTTCCACTCCTTGGCAATATTTATTGTTTTAAAAAATGATGATTATAATTTTAATAAAACCTAAATATATGAAAGTGAATTTGTACATTTTCTTTGCTATTGAGAATTTACAAAAATAATAAACACTATTTATTTATTAGATTATTTATTGGAATGGTTTGCAAAACATCAGCTAATTGCCAATTGATTCAAACTTTATAAAATGGTAAATAATAAGAATTTCTTTAAAGTTGGTTTAAGGATTTTAATAATTTCGTAAATGTTTATAAATTTATTAATAAAAATGTTTCCATATTTATTTCTTTATAAATTGGTAAATGATAAGCATTACATTGCATTAGTTGTAATTGTAGTAGTTTTTAGTTTTGTAAATATAAAATTATTCTTGTAAATAAACAATCTAATAAATAAAGTCTTTAATATTTTTGTTGTAAATTCTCAAGAAGAAAAAAATGTATAAATTCACTTTCATCATATGTTTAGGCTTTTTTATAATTCTAATCCTCATTTTGCCGAGGAGTGAAGGTAGTTAAAATAATAGTGGTGTCAAGGGAAAAACCATTCTTTTAACACTCCATTTTTTGGCGGGCACAAAGTTTGCTGATTTTTTTTTTTTTTTTTTACACCAGAATGGCCAAAGTTTTGAGTATACCAAAATCTAATTTCAGTCTGTCCAGAGATCAGTGTTCAAGCCTAGGTAATTTTGAATTCTGATTACTACATATTTGCTCAGCACTCATAGACATGGCCCTCCACTCTTCCCAATTGCTCATGATGAATACATCAATGACTCTAACAATAAAATTTTTTTAAAAGATTACTCTAATGCACTTAATTCAGTGGAGAATATTAATCCCCTAGATCAAAGATTATAAAGTGAAAATATTTGGTAGCAATTCAGTTAATATCTTCATGTCAGGCTACAGACTTATTGATCCTATTACGACTACTATGTTGAACTTCGTCAGCATTCATAGACACGATCCTCCACTCCTTTCTATTACTCATGATGATCTACAGTTCTTCAATGTGGAACTCTGTACCCTCTTGTACTTGTTTGACAAAAGTTTTGCTGGTCAACCTCGAATAATTCAACAGTGATAAGTTCTTTTACCGTCCTGGATATGACGATAAACTACATCTGGCAGCAAGGCCTCTGATCAGGAGGTTATGAGGAGTGTGGAACCATCTCTTAGTTTCTGGTGTTCCTAGGTCCACCTGTTAGGGACCCAGCTATGGGCAAATAATTAACCTGCAAACTTGGTTCAAAACACTATGAAAGTGTAAAAATAGGTTCTGATATAGCAATATGTATTTGTAAAAAAAATTACAAGCAATAAAATTTTTGAAGAAAAAATTATTACCAGCAATAAAAATCTTATTAGCATTGAGGTTGATCTGCCGTAAAACAAACCAAGTTCTTTTATGATACCATTAACATCCTACAAATTTTAATGTGCTTTCATATAGCTTCAGAACTGGGGAGGATTTTGCCATAGAGCTCTTTCTTTGAGAGGTATTGACTCCACAAGACATTAAGGGCAGCACTGAACAGTCTAGTATAAAGTACCATATAGAGTTTTCTCCAGCGATGACGTCAGAGTTCAAGTAATTGACAAGAACGTATTCAACAGCAGCATGTCAAATTTAAGTTTAAAAATGGGTCATACATTGGGTCACAGGCTTTTCCGTCAGATCATTATCGCTGGAATAAGTTTAATCTTCATTGGGTGCTCAGCAAGTGTATCCTTGTGCCAAACTAAATGGTTCTCAGAAAATACCAATAAAATTACACTGAAGAAAACATTTTTCTGAAAATATAACATTAAGAAAAATCCTAACTTTTCAGCCATTCTGGTGATAAATTATTTTAATTTAAAACTTTTTTCTATTTTTTTTTACCCTTTTTGATTTTTATTAAAAAAAAAATGTCACAAATTCCAAATCAGTTTCATATAAAAGAATTTACTTATTCTTAAAAGTAATGAAATTATTTTTCTTTTGAATATTTGTAAAAAAATATTTTTTAATCAGATTTTATAAACATATACAAAATATTTTTATAGAGCAAATAACAGTCTAGGATAAATTGGATGGCAAAGTTTAACATACATACCCACAAAAAGCTGGTGTGAAAAAAGAACGATAATTCTCGTGACATTGCTATTACTGTATATGCGATCAGCAATTTTTAGTGCTTTAAAAAGATATTTTTAGAATTTTAATAAAACCCAAATATAGGAAACTGGATTTATAAATTTTTTTTTTATCAAAAATTAGTAACAAAAGAATTAGACACTAAAATACTATTTATTCACAAGAACAATTTTATATTTCTTATATATGCCATATTCCTTCAGGATGGGGGTGATCATGGCTCTCCACAACTTCCTGTCCTTTTAGCTCTTAGTAAATTTTGCCTTTTTGCTTTCTCTCCTAATCCCTGTCCTGCCAACAATTTACACAAGCTCATTCTTCCATGTGCTGTGTTCTGTCAGGATGTGGGTGATCATGGCTCTCCACAACTTCCTGTCCTTTTTAGCTCTTAGTAAATTTTGCCTTTTGCTTTCTCTCCTAATCCTGTCCTGCCAACAATTTACACAAGCTCATTCTTCCATGTGCTGTGTTCTGTCAGGATGTGGGTGATCATGGCTCTCCACAACTTCCTGTCCTTTTAGCTCTTAGTAAATTTTGCCTTTTTGCTTTCTCTCCTAATCCCTGTCCTGCCAACAATTTACACAAGTTTATTCTTCCATGTGCTGTGTTCTGTCAGGATGTGGGTGATCATGGCTCTCCACAACTTCCTGTCCTTTTAGCTCTTAGTAAATTTTGCCTTTTTGCTTTCTCTCCTAATCCCTGTCCTGCCAACAATTTACACAAGCTCGTTCTTCCATGTGCTGTGTTCCTTCATGATGTAGGTGATCATGGCTCTCCACAACTTCCTGTCCTTTGTCTTAGTAAATTTTGCCCTTTTGTCTAATCCCTGTCCTGCCAACAATTTACAAAGCTCATTCTTCCATGCCTGTGTTCTGTCAGGATATGGGTGATCATCTCCACAACTTCCTGTCCTTTTAGCTCTTAGTAAATTTTGCCTTTTTTGCTTTCTCTCCTAATCCCTGTCCTGCCAACAATTTACACAAGCTCGTTCTTCCATGTGCTGTGTTCCTTCATGATGTAGGTGATCATGGCTCTCCACAACTTCCTGTCCTTTTAGCTCTTAGTAAATTTTGCCCTTTTGCTTTCTCTCCTAATCCCTGTCCTGCCAACAATTTACACAAGCTCATTCTTCCATGTGCTGTGTTCCTTCATGATGTAGGTGATCATGGCTCTCCACAACTTCCTGTCCTTTTAGCTCTTAGTAAATTTTGCCCTTTTGCTTTCTCTCCTAATGCCTGTCCTGCCAACAATTTACACAAGCTCGTTCTTCCATGTGCTGTGTTCTTTCATAATGTAGGTGATCATGGCTCTCCACAACTTCCTGTCCTTTGTAGCTCTTAGTAAATTTTGTATTTACAAGCTTATATAAATATGTGTACCAACCACAATTTATCATTTACCATTTTATAAAGAAATAACTGTGAAAACGAATTTTTCTTATAAATTGATAAATATGTAAACAAAAGAACAATAAAATTTAAACAAACATTGAATGACAAATAACTGTAATTATGAATTTTTAAAAAATACTTTTTTCCTGGCATTTCTTTCATTTGTTCTTACCACATAAATCCACTAAAATTATTTACAAGTATCTGAATGTGTACTTTTTTACCTCAAGAAGTGACAGCAAAAATGTTAAACACTATTTATTTATTGAACTTTTAGTTACAAGAATAGTGTTTAATGTTTTTGTTGTTTAATTCTCGAGAAAAAAGAAAATTTATAAACCCAATTTCATATGTTTGGGTTTTATTAAAATTAGAATTTTTTGTGGAAATCCTCACAGTATTTAGTATTGTTGAAGTTGTTGCTAACATTTTTTTGTTGAGATTTACTAACTACATTTTGTTCAATTTCACAAACCAATCAATGAAATTTAAATAAGCTGATTTGTTTGGAAAAATACTTTGACAAAAAACCTACTTTGCTGTTTAATAATTTCTTTGATTTAATTTAATTTTATAGGATTTCATGGTAAACAATGTTTTTTAAGAAAATTTCTTTTTTCCTTTTTAACAATGAAGAATAAATTCTTAAGATTTCTTACTCTTGAGTATGCAACATACAACTGGCCATGCATCAGTATTTCTTTCTGGAGCCAAATTCCAACTTTTTGAAGCATTTGGCTTTGTGATTTGTTCATAGATCTTGCAAATGCAGGGCAAACTGGAAACTTGATTCTTGTTTATATAAAAATTATAAAAATATGCAAAAAACAATATTGCATTTTTATTAAAATTGTTATTTTAACCATTAAATTGTTTTTAAAATAGTGGGAGTATTTTGTATGTTAAATAATAAAACTTAATCTTCCCTAAAAATTAATGAAAAATTATTGTACTAAGCTATGCACCATGGTAAAATCAATTAAATTTTGTAACCTCTTACCTGTTTGCACTTCTGCCCAAAATTTGGTTTTGATTGGTAAATATATGGCTATTTTAGAGGGTGTGACAGCCTAACGGAAGTCTCAGAATTTTATAGATAGATTTTAAAAATAGTTTTTTAAAACAATAAAAATTGCTGAATGATTCTAAAGTAATAGCAGTGTCAAGAGAAAAAATGTCCTTTCGACATATCATTTTTTGACAGATATGTTTGTTAAACTTTGCCAATTGGATATTTATTAACAGACACACATTTTAATTTTGCTTATGATAAATACAGTAATTAATAAAAAGCAGAAAAAAGCCTAAAAAGCAAAGACAATGTCTAAGAAAAATCATTGTTTTGTTTTTGTTTCATTTTTTTTTTACATTTGAACAAGTTATTCTGTGATTCCAAAACATTTATAAAATATGAATTTACTGTTATTTTTGAAAATCTTGATGGAGATAGAAATTTTACTAATTGCATACAGGACAGACATTATTTAAAAAAAAAAAAAAAAAACGTGGGGAAAATGAAAAAAAAGTTGTTTAATATAAAAATACAAAAAGGGAAGATTAAGAAAAAGATTGTTTTTTTTCTTGACCTGTTTTTGTGTCATTTTGTATTTTTACATCAAACAAACTACTTTAGTAATTTGTTTTATTTTCTCTTTTTTTTTTCTTTCAATAATGTCAGTCCTGTATGGAATTACTATTATCCTATTTTTTTTTTTTTTTGCAATGTGAAATTGGTGTTTCAAAGTTGTTAATTGTTCATAAAACACTCATTCCCAATAAGTATTCTGTCTTTAAGACATGCCGTTATCATTCCGACATTTGTTTGAACAATCTGATTGCTTTTGACCCCAAAGTTGGGCAGAGAATAAATATTAATTAAACATGTCTGCAGAGTATGATACCAGAATAGACATTGTGCTCACTCTCACACCAGATCATCAAAGAAGCTAGATACACTTGAGGTGAAATCTTGGCCGCTGTATTCAGAAGCATATGACCTCACACCTGCATCCGGTTTTGTAAATGTGGAAACAACAAGCATGGGCAATATAGGCATAAACAACTGCTCCAAAGAGGAGCTGGGCAGTCTCTCATACATCACAGACAAGGATGTAAGGTCCATGTATCAGGCCAGGGTTCCTGTGGAGCCACGTAACAGACTGGCTGAGAGTAACTGACAAAGTGTTGGAGTAAAATAAAATGTAAAGTTAAATATGAAAAATTCAAATATTTTGTTGTTGTTATTTAATTTTTTATTTAATTTTAATTATTATATTTGCATCGTTATAGGTCATAAAATAATAAAATGCACTGCAAAAGTTGAAAGAATAATATTAAATTAGGCATCTCAAAACAAGAGAGCAATAACTAAGATTTAAAATGCATTTTAAAAGATGAAAATCAGCAATATTTAACCTTCCCCTGACACCACTATTATTTGGAATTCCTGTCACTCCCTTGGCATTGTTTACTTTCAAGATTATAAAAATATGTGAGCAAAGTGCAATGTGATATTTATTATTTATCATTTTATGAAAAATTTATTATTTAATATTTTATAAAGAAATAAATTTGAAAAGAAATATTTTTATTCAAAAATTTGTAAAAAATTCCAAAATTATCAAAATATATAAACCAACTACAATGTGATATTTATTATTTACCATATTAGAATATAGTGAAGAAAACGGTGACTTACCTCGTCAAACCAAGCGACAGTGCGTCATGTGTATTCTACGACAGAAAATGTGGCAAAAAAGAAAATTACTTACCAAACAAAAGGGCACGTATTCAGCATGACATGCTGAAAATGGAATATTTGAATTAAAAAACAAGTCCGTCAAAGGAGTCGCTATAAAAGTATTTTGATATGCAAATTATTAAATATCCTCTCCCAGCTGTCGACAAATGAGAAAAAAAAAAAAGGTTCTGCCGATAAAAGCTGTTGGTGTTCTCGAATCGAGAGTGGGAAAAATTGGGCATTTTGGCTACAGCGTTTGTTAGAGAGTGAGTTATTTTTCTGACTGGTTACATGCATTGTGATTCGAGAGAGTACCGACGAATTGAGTTTTCAGTATTTCTTTCTGCACCCGATATTCGAGTCTGTACTTACAGTGATTTTTCTTTGTGTTGGGGAAGTAATCTGTGACAAATACTTCCTTTGCTTTCAGAACAGCTACATAGAAATAACTCTAGAAGAAGAAAATTTGAATAAACCTATGGCAAACAAAAATTAAAAGAAAGTTTGATTCAGAGGAAGAGATGGTGTCAACTTATTTGATTGAATTTATGTAGAGAGAGCAAACGAAAGAAAGGCCCAGAAAATGCATTTCTTTCAAAATTTATAATTAGTCACTTGTCACTATTTGTTTATTCAAATTTATGAATTAAATATTTTTTTATTTCTTTATAAAATGGAAAATAATAAATATTTCATTATAGTTGGTTCACATATTTTTATAATCTTGTAAGTAACTCCAACAGTTTCTCACACTTCACGCCTGTGGAACTCCCTTCTGTTTCCTAGTTTTCCTGAAAATTAGCCTATAAAAATTTAAATGCAACGTCAATAACCATCTTCTATCTTTTTGAATCCATTCATCTTTCTTCAATCCCCCCCCTATACCCAGTCTTTTCTCTCACTTTCACTCTCTGTAACCCCCTGTGTACTAGTGGCATTACCGACTTGCTTGGGGTGAAATGATAAACAATCTAATAAATAAATAGTGTTTAACATCTTTGTTGTCATTTCTCAAGAATAAAGAATGTTTGAATCCACTTTCATAGGTTTGGGGTTTATTAAAATTCTAATCACTTTTTAAAACAATAAGCATTGCTGAGGGAGTCAAAAGTGTATACAGTAATAGCAGTGTCATAAGAATTACCATCCCTTTTTTGTGCGAGCATAAAGGTTAAACATTATAAAAATGGTAAATAAAATGTTTTATTATAGATGACATATTTTTATAATCTTGTAAATATAAAAATATTCTTGTAAATAAGCAATCTAATAAATAAAGAGTTTAACATCTTTGTTGTCAGTTCTCAAGAATAAAGTAAATGTATAAATCCACTTTCATATGTTTGGATTTTATTAAAATTTTAATCATTGCTTTTTAAAACAATAAACATTGCTGTGGAAGTCATGAGTGTAATAGTGGTGTCGAGGGAATAACCATCCTTTTGACAGATTTTTTTTTTTTTTATTGTTGGTACAAAGGTTAAACATTGCTGAAAAGTCTACAAGCTTTTATTTTTATTTTTATTTCAATCTAATAGATTAAAGTTAATATTTCCATTAACAATATCACTTAACCACTACATATTAATACAGAATTTAAAACTTTATAAATTATTCAAATAAAAATTTTAAAAAATGAAAGCAATTCCTGTAAACTATTTACATTATTTGGACTATTGTCCTCATCTTTGTTGACATATTTATTACAACGTTTCGGCTATTGTACACTCCGGCCTTCTTCAGGTGGTTGGAATGTCGAACTGAACCCTTTATTTCGCTTACTGGGGTAGACTGTTCTAGTTCCATGTGCCATGTTTAATGGATATCAGTTATCTCCTGTTAATTCCCCTCTCCAAGTTCTCCACTGCCTTAACTGGGTATTGAACTCACACTCTTTGGGCCTTGTCACTGGATCTAACTAATGCCTTTATCCACAGTGCCATGTGTCCTTGAGTTCAATACCCGGTTAAGGCAGTGGAGAACTTGGAGAGGGGAATTAACAGGAGATAAATGATAATTGATATCCATTAAACATGATATTGTTCTAGATTCTCTCGTCGGTCCTTTGGTTTTTGGTGGCATCTAATTCTTTTGGCATCAAACAACGAAGTCTGGTTTTGGTGACAACTGCTTCTTCTAATGGCAAACAGCTAAGACTGGTTTTGATGACGTCCGATTCCTCCGAAAGCCAGCAGCTAAGTGAGATTATT